AGCAGTAGTAGTAGTAGTAGCACTAGTAACAGTAGTACTAGTAGCACTACTAGTAGTAGTAGTAGTAGTAGTAGTAGTACTAGTACTCGTACTAGTACTAGCACTAGTAACAGTAGTACTAGTAGCACTACTAGTAGTAGTAGTAGTAGTAGTAGTAGTAGTAATAGAAGTTGTTGTAGTACTAGTAAGAGTAGTAGTAGTAGTAGTAGTAGTAGTAGTAGTAGTAGAAGTTGTTGTAGTACAAGTAAGAGTAGTAGTAGTAGTAGTAGTAGTAGTAGTAGTAGTAGTAGTAGCAGGAGCAGTTGTAGTAGCAGTAGTAGCAATAGTAGGAGTAGCAGTAGGAGTAGCAGTAGCAGTAGCAGTAGCAGCAGCAGTAGCAGTAGCAGTGGTACGAGCAGTAGCAGCAGTAGTAGTAGTAGTAGTAGTAGTAGTTGTAGTAGTAGTAGCAGTAGTAGTAGTAGTAGTAGTAGTAGAAGCAGTAGCAGTATGTCACAAGTAGTAGTACTAGTAGTAGTCGTAGTACTAGTAGTACTAGTAGTAGTAGTAGTAGTAGTAGTAGTACTACTACTAGTTACTAGTAGTAGTAGTAGTAGTAGTAGTAGTAGTAGTAGTAGTGGTAGTAGTAATAGTGGTAGTAGTAGTAGTAGTAGTAGTAGTAGTAGTAGTAGTAGTAAGCACTCCGGCTCAGACGTGTCCCATCAGCGGGACGCAAACTTTTCGTCTAGCTGTGATCCCATCCATGCCATGGAGCAGTGCGCACAAACAACGCAAGAGGACTCGTCACTACAGAGTGGAGCCTGGCAGTCTAGGGCCCCTGCTTATGATACTCTCGGCAGCTGTCTTGATAGCTATCTGCAAGAGTGGAAGCGAGACCCCGGATCTCGCGTCATCGAACAGGAGTTGGGAGCCAAGCGGCCCCAGGACAAGGTGCATGGCCTCAATAAATGCACTGAGACGTACGCAGTCCACAAGCCTGATAGACTCTCCGATGAGGAGACCAGCACCTCAAACCTGGAAAGGCCTAAGCCCTCGCCGCCCCCACAGCCTGAATCCCCACGAGGCAGGAGAAGAAACAGACGCAAACGCATGCCAGCATACAGCCGTGCCCTGGTGCAACAATCCCTGCAAGTGGCTCAGAGTAGGCATGACTCAAAACACACACAAGACCAACCTACAATTCTCGAGAGCGCCACGACAGTGGACCTGCACGCCATGGATTAGGCAGCTCGGCCAGGGCCCCAAGCTACACAAGACATGCTATACCAGTCTGCCCTGCATTGTAGGGACGACTCCACCAAGACGAGGTTTTGGAGGACCCTTGGCATCCCCAGAACCTCTACCCCCACAAACACGCAGGTGCGACTGCCACATGCTGTGTCAGACGGCGGAACCTTCACGCGCAGACCTACGAGGACAGCGTCATGACGCCATAGCTGCCATCGTAACCGAGTATAGGCCTGAGCATACAGTCACTGCGAGCTTAAAGTGCAGCGTACGTGAGTCTGCTACCGCCGCGTATGTGCAGAAGGCATCATGCCCAAGCCCGGCGAGGGGGCTCAGCAGAGACCGCCTAGGTCGCAGGACAGCAGGGGAGCTCCGTAAAAGGGCCCCTTACGTGGAATACTGGAAGGAGGTGCAGGCGCGCCAACAACAACAGCAGAGAGGCGGCCCTGCGCAGACAGCGGCCCCTTCGACGGCCCGAGAACGTCCGCAGCACTACAGAATTCATACGGATGAAAGCCAAGAGGGGAACTACGGTGGGGAGCCGTCGCAGACAAGGGGCCCCAGAAGACGAGAGGATATAGGCGAGCCATCCTCCGGCCCCTGGGAGTCCTGGAAGCAGCAGGATTGGGAGACGGATTGGTGGTACCAGGCGCAACTCGAGAAGAGAGCAAGGCTCTGATGATGATCGGCGACCAGCAGAGGAGAAACACTACGATGACGACTACAGCTGGTACGAGGAGGAAGAAGAGGCGAGAGATGATAGGAGAGAACCTCACAGCGAGGACTCCTCCTACGACCAAGACACGTCAGAGCCGTCGCCGATTCGCAAAAACTCAGGACCACCAGCCTCCAAGAGATCACGTAGCACCCAGGTCAGTGATGCGTTTGTGCAAAGACAACGAGCAGGGCAGCCAGACTCGGCCCCTCCTCCTACGGACGATCTCTGCGCAAACCAGCTGGACAGGCTGCATAAAGTGGTCGAGCTCCTGGAAAAGCTCGCCAACGCGGGCCTCCCCACGCTGCTCCACGCCTTCTACAGATCCGGCGACTTCACGAAATTCCATGGGGACTTTCACCAGGATGCTGCCACACAGGACTTCCCACGGGTGGGCAACTGGAATCTATCACTCGTGTGCTCACTGCTAAGCCCACAGTTGAGGGGTGTCTACGACAACGCTGAGAAGTGCGGGACCTTCGTTGAAGCCTTCACCGTCCACTCGTTCAAACAGACACCACAGCCAACATGGCTTGGCAGCTTTCAGCACCTGGTGGTGCTGATCACGGCTATGATGGATCAGTGCTCCCCGGCCACCTAGTAGGTGCCATGAAGTGGAAGGTGAACCCGGCAGAGTTCATCCATATCGTGAGGTTGCACGAAACCACACCCATCCCGCAACCGGGAGAGGCAGGGGCGGAAGA